TAACTTTAATTAAAATTTTAAATGTAATTTAATTTTAAAATAATTAAAGTATTTAAATTGCTTTAAAATTACTGTTTATGAGAAGATCTTAAGTTACTTATGTTTTAACATGAGTAAAAATTGTCAGCTTACTATCTTTCTCCCCCTTTAAGAAATTGGAAGAACAAGACCGAAAAGCTCTAAATATTAAAGAACAATTACAGCGGGAACACCGCTACCTCAAACGCAGATTGGAGCAGCTATCCGTGCAGGGCATGGAGCGTATCCGCACTGACAGTATGGGATCAACAATATCCACTGACTCTGAACAAGGTAACTGAACAAGGGCTTCCCAAAGGGAGCTGCAGGAGCAGGAAGGAAAAGGGAAGTAGGGAAGCAAGAAAACATTATTTAGAACTAAAATCAAGCTTTCAGCAAAACCTAGACAAAGTTGTTCCATTATGCTATTTGCAGAATAAAAAACTACTACATCTTTTTTACATTCTCTGAAAACTTTTTCTAATCAGTTTTGAAACTACTAATACAGCACATATTTTTAAAGCTATTTATACTGCATATGTTTTTGCCAGTTTTTTAAACAATTACTGTTTACTGTTTGGAATTTTTAATGTAATTCTTGCTAAGGCTGGCATAATATTTTCTTCTTGGAGAAAAAGATCTTTTTGGTCTTAATTCATTTATGTGAATAAATTAATTCCACATCATTTATTGTGAAATTTTAAAATATTTTCTGTGTAACGATCACCAAGTGTTCTCTACATTTGGTTCTCATTTAAGACAAAGCTCTTCAAGCTGCCTGTCACCATTTCTTATTTTCTCATTTGAAGTTTTTCTGTGCCTGAACACTAGCACAGGCTGACTTTTTCAGGGCCTATGGGAGATGAGTTTTCAGTCACGGTGCGGTTACTGGTGGACAGATGGCCACACCACGGTCACTACTAGCCGACACCTGTATAGGTTGGAATTACCATGAATGGTGCTGCAGTATTACGGCCTTTGAGGGCTGGGGTTTTTTTTGTTGTTTTTTTTTTTTTTTTTAAATCAGTGTCTCTGCACAGGTTGGAACAGTTCTGGGACAGCATTTGGTATTGATGTCATGCAGTATATTTATGTGGATGAGGACAGAAGGGATTTTAGTTCTCAGGAGGACAAGATGATCCTTTCCTCAGGAATTACTGTTCCTGTTCTTTTTTTTTTAATTACAGAAAATGAAGTGTGATTCAGGTTTCACCTGAACATTGATTGGTACTGGGCCATGATTACTTGCTACAACCGCTGCCTTTCTGAAAATGTGCCTTCTTATGTTTTCTTTAGAAGTAGACATTGAAGGAATGGAGTTTACTCCAGGTGAAATGGACAGTATTGGAAGTGCCAGCGATGCTGAAGACCACTACAGTTTGCAAAGCGGTTCGAGTGACGGAGGTTACACACATTCCCGCAGACTGAATGCCAGGCTCTCATAGTGCCTGAGTTACCCGCTCAACTCAGGACCATCTGACTGAAGCACTTATATATGAATATTCCAGAGGTGTCAACTGCCACTCTTCCGGGAAACCCCAACCACAGTACTCTGACATGGAGGTTTCTTACCCACGGTTCCCTGCACTGTAACCACAATATTAGATATTGTAAATCATGGGTTTGCTGCAGAGAACTGTGGTTAGGTACAGTTGTGACTTAAAGCTAGCTTGATGTAGCCATACTGCAAATTAAAGAAAATAAATTATGTCATTCCATTCAAGAAGTATTAAATTCAAACTGTTGGAAGCATGGCGTAAGGGGGTTTGACAGTTATTTTGATTTTGCAGAAACCATTTTCAAACATGGAAGAATAAATGGAACCTACAATGTGTTAGTGATTCAGAGATACAAAAACCTAAAACTACTTTTGTGGTATTTTTTTCATGAAAAAAAAACCCAAAACATTTTGAACGCTGTATAGCGGGCTCAATAGAGTACATTCTTTCAGCAGTTGTTTGGGTGAAGCAGGCAGATAAATCTTCAAATCTCAGATGATCTTTAGAAAAGGTCATATTTACAAGTCACTACTGTACTTCAAAATGGGGGAAAAGCCAGCTCTAATAATGACTTCATGTGGGATGATCTCAACTTTCTTTTGCTTTTTTGTATTCAATATCCAACCAGCAGCAAATCATTCTGTCCATGTTAACAGGAGTGGTAGAAAGCAACACTGCGATTTTAACCTGTTATCGTGGAATGAATGACATTTGAAGCATTTCAGTGGTTTTTGGGTTGTTTTTTTCATTTCTTTGTCTGAAGAATACAGAACTCAAGTGATCCAGTTTGTGATAGTTAATCTTTCCTCGCAAGGAAATGCAACCTCTATTTGCTTGTATTCTTTTCTTTTCTTCTATTTACACATGTCAATACATTTTTATGGAAGGCATGGCTTAAAATTACAGTATTCAGCTAGAAGCTAATTAATTTTTTTCTTTTGCACACTATAATTGCATTTTCTATTCTTAAAAAAGTGCAAAAAAATTAAAATGTATGCTGTAAAACAGCAAAGTTTATTTAGTACTCATCAAGCTGTTCAGAACATATTTACCCAAATTGTAGCAATACTATGAAGGTGTATTTTAATACAACTTCTGCTTAGTGAAGTCATTAGAGCTTGGCTTGCCGGGTAAGAAAAAAATGGACCAGTCTTTGCATTCTCTGTTTAAAGAAGGTCTTTTAAAAAAAAAAAGAAGAAAAAAGAAAAAAAGAAAAAAAAAAGAAAAAAGCTATAAACACTTTTAGGGAAGTGATTTTAGCAAGTGTAGTCTATATTTCCTGTAAGAGATTTTGTATTATATTTTCCTAAATGTTCTCATTTACTTGTATAGGGAGGGGAATGGTACAGACCCAGACCAGAGTCTCAGGGACTCTTCACCTTTGTCATATTGTGCCTTGGTGACCATTTATGTATGCCTCTCCTTTTCATTGTTTAAAGGACAACTAAGCTTTGTTTCAAGACCCTCTGTTCGAATGGTCAGTTGTCCACCTCCTTATGGATGAAGCAGAGAGGTGTATTTATATCTTCACCCTCTCACAACTGATTCAGCGTGGCTTTAAGTAAAATCATAAAATTAGGTTTTGGTGCGAGGGTTAATTGTCATTGCATAAGCCCTCCCTTGGATTCTTCAGCACCCGAATCTATATTTTGTTAGCTTATAAAGTCAGGGTCTCCGTGAGACCAGTGCTCAGTGGCTAGGGAAACACAAACATGCTGTGTAAGGCTATGGGATGTCCAAGTGTGGTGCCATTTTTAGCATTTGGATACAAGACCTCATGACAGACTGACCATAATGATCAAAAACAAAGATTCAGTTGTTCTTTCAACATCTGACATACGTGTCCTCCCTTTGGCTCTTAAAACACAGAGTAGAAATACAAATACATTTTGTGGCAGCTTACAGATCCTTGTTTGCACTCTCGCTTACTGCTTGGAACTTGCCAACAAGGAAAACATATACATTTAATTTACATAACCTAATGGATGGCCACCCCTACTTTGGCTCTGGGGAGGGGCCTAAGGTTATAAACTCTGGCAGCTGAATAATAAAACAATTAACCTTTTCTGTGATGCAGGTTTTGGTATTACATTCTATACACCTTGCATATTACTAAAATCCTCATTGTTGGGGAAAGCACACAGCAATATACTCATTGTGTGTAGCTGACAAGCAGCAGAAATTACTAGCTCCTTTGGTGCATACGTAACTAATTTCCAAATCATGGAAAAAAAAAAAAAAGAGTTTACTTTAACACACGACTGTTAACAGGAAAAAAAAAAAAAAAGGCTAGTATATTGTTGCTGTTCATTTATTATATAATGAACACATTCATAAATTGTAAAGTGTTTCCTTTCCTGACAAGCAGCTCTTGCACAGAACCTCCTAATGAAAAGAGATTTGAAACTTACAGAAGGAAAACCAAGATTTTAAATTGAACATTATTGTACCTTAGGTTGACCTGAAATTTTCCTTTTAAAGATGAATGTGCTAACTTAATGAGTTCTTCCACGCTGGGTATCCATGGCTTTGTAGATCTTATATTTTCAATAAAAATTACTCGAATAATCTTGAGTGGAAATAAAAAGGGTTTATTTGTTTTTACTTTTTCAGTTATTACAGCTGGGGGCTATTATGCCGGTAAAGAAAAATGACACCATGCTGCCCGTGTCATTCTCCCTCAAGCGCAGCACCAATGTAAGTGGTATTTTCAGGCACAGCCCTCTTTTCTGCAACTCGGACAGAGGCAGCCCAGTTGAAAGCAGCAGCACAACGGTTTCAAGTGTTGGGTTTGGCAGCTGGTTTGGGTAGCTGCCTGCCCCCTTAGCAGTACTGCAGCCCAGCCCTGCCCTGGCTGACCCATGGTGACAGCCGGGGCTCTGACATTCCTTTAGAGACGTCATTCACCTGCTACTGAGCAGCCAGCCGCTACCTGTGGCCATAGCACCTTGGGATGCAAACAGTGTTCGGTTTTTATTGATTTTTTTAAGCTGGATGTTTGTGTGTGTGCTATGTGTGTGTGTGCTTGCGTGCATGCATCCCTGCGCGTGTGTGCAGCTGTATCTGTAATCACAACATGACTGCAAAAAGCATACCGCTTGCTGCAAGATTAAATACTACCACCGCCTTGGCAGCTCTGCCGTTTTGTGTCATGACCGTGCTTTTAGCAGGTGAGGAGATACTCCTGGTCAGTTAGTCTATTTTCTCTGCAATTACCACATAGGAAAAGAAGGGAGTAGGGACAAGATTACAGGGCTGCTAGATCTTTTCCTCTGTGGAGAAGGCTCTGGAGAGGTGAAGTCATCAAGAAGTTCTTTTTATGGAGACGTAGAGGTCTGGCTCATTTCCTGGTGGAAGAAGAAAGGAAAGGCTTTCCTTTCCAGCATTTAGGTGTCGGGAGGATACGCACCCCTTCATTGCTCTTCATCTACCTCCATGAGTGCAATCTGTCATCACAGGAGTGGGGCATGAAAGAAAGAGCCTAAAATTGTTAGCTTTTTCTTGCAGACTCTCCACTGCGATTTGGAAGATGAATCCTCCTTCACACCCATCCTCTCTCTGCCCAACTTGTAACCCCCTCAGGCCCACTGCAGCTGATTTATTTATCTTCTGAAAAAAGCAGGGTTTGGCCAGTAGAAGCTCTACAACACGTTGCTAATTGGAGACTGAATCTTGTATTGTCTTGTGCAAAACCAAACTCAGTTCGAAGTGAGCCCTATCAGATTAAAGCAGAAATAAAAAGGCCCCAAAAAATCCCATGAGAAGGACAGTTTTTCACCTGGTGTTTACACAGGAGTTTCTATCCTATTTTCTTAGTGTAAGATTTGGAGTGGAAAAAAAAATTAAAATCTAATGCAACTTGCATCTAACTTAAAGAATTAAGACTTTTTCTGACCTTAAATGGTGTTCTTTTTCTTGACATGGATGAGTATGGGTTCAGCTATACCACACACAGCCTAACATCATTTTGTAGTAAAAAAAATGTTACTTTTGTTGATCTACAAATAAACCACTGTGAGAAATACCAGTATTCTAAGCATCCAACTGTACACTCTGCATAACCCATTTCAGCAGATGAACTCAAATGCCAGGAGAAGAGAACTGGGCAACGGGAAGAGGTGAGGTCGCGTGTGCCTGAGCTCTGCCTGCAGTCCTGCTCCCCGTCTGAGCCCCGGAGCGCGTTTCGCCGCAGGAGGTACTTCTGCTTTTCTTGGGGGTATTTACAGCAGTCTCTGCTACTGTGACAAGTGATTACGTCACCATTTTACCAACTTTGTAGCAGACTGGTAATTAGAGGTGAAATTTTTCATCCTTGCAGATCAGTCCTGTGGAAAAGAAACACATTTTTTAAAAGAATCACATCATCACAGCTTTTAATCAAGTAATATTAATGTTATATACTTCATTTTATGGTGGTGATGATAAAGGAATGTCTGCAAAACAGATTATTCTCTCAGAAATCTCTTCTTTTTTTCTTTAACAATTAGAGACCGTTGGTTGTGTGTGATAAGAGCCAGTAACAGTGTTAATATTTAACCCACTAACTTGCGCTTTCCAAAATTGGTGGAAGGAGAATTGAATCCCTTTAGATACTCTTTAAGGAAGAGCTGTACTCCCTACAAATACTATGGGGGCAAACACATCACAAATTAATTTCACCAGCAATGAAATGAGCCAATTTGCTTAAGTGACTGACTAAATGCACTAAATGTTGTTAATTGGTAGCTGCAAAAGAAACATCCGAGTGTGTTGCGTAACTACCTAGAATTAAAACACAAGGGATATACGACAGAGAAAAGACCAGAAACCATTTGGTCACCTTGGCTGTTCTCTCTACCTGAAGTGTTGTAAATTAACCCCAGCAAAGGGTTCCTGGGGAGCCACCGCCAGCCAGAGACTCGCCCGTTGGCAAAGCAGAGTGAAGGCGCTCCAGTTTCAGAGTTTCTTCTTTCCATTTTGCACGAGAGGTGTAAAATGTGGTTACACATGCTATGCGTCATTGAAAAGGTCTGTGCAGTACGGCTTTTTAAGTGGTGAAATTTTGGTGCACGTGATAGCCCTGAGAGAGAGCCTTCTGCTGTTCACTGGTCAAATTGTCACCTAAAGGTGTTAGCGAGGGGGTTCTGTGCCGGAGCCACGGGGCCCCAGAGCCAGAGGAATGGTTCATAGTCTGGGAGATGTACTATACTGTACAGATTCATTTGTACCCACGTACATGGCGCTTGCTACGATCGGTAGCATGCAGAGTATTGTGTTGTATCATTATCTCGTCATAATATAAATATAAATTTTTATACCTTTTTGTTGTGGTTTTCAGGTTTTTTTAATTTTTCATCATTTGTTTTTCATGTATAGCGTTTCTTCTCTTTGCAAACCTTTACTTACAGGCTTAATGACCATTTCATAAGGGGCTCACTGAGTTTTAGCAATTCAAATTAATAGTATGGTATGAAGGTTGGAGTGGTCTTTAAACTAAAGTTCTTTTACATATGCTGGCCCAGTGCAACCCCAATAGTCATTAATGTTATTTGTCTCTAACCATGGGCGCTGTATAAATTTCCACTATTACATTTCTGAAGATGAACCAACCTGTAAAACAAAGTACAAATTGAAAAGCATTCATGTCTGTTCTAAGTAATTATACTTGAAATCATTCCAGCTCTGTACAAGACATAAAAAAAAAGCGTTAAAAGGCAGCCTACAAGTTCTGCATGTGTATTTTGTCAAATATGAAAGTCACATCACAAGTGATGTACAGCCAGACAAAAAAGAGCATTTTAGTTTGTTACTAGGACAGACAAGAGGAACAGAACTGAAATGCTTTTTCAAATTGCATCATTATACTCTCAATTGTAGTGCGTGACATCTGTTTTTGTTTCAGCTGGTCACACATGTTGCACTTAAATACAGCGACGTCTTAAAAATATAGAAATGGTAGTTTTAAGTTGAAATCATGGCAAGTAGCTTGCCGATATGTTTCTGATTCAAATAAGCTGAGCTGCTGAATCAGTAAAAATATTCATGCACAAAGCATAACAATTTTTTTAATCACAGCTTTCTTTGAAATTACTGCTATCACAGAATAAGTGTAAAATACAATTCAGCACATTAGTAACTTATTATAAACTAATCTCCAACAGGAAAAAAGCTATAATAAACTTTTAGCAGTGCTGTATTTCGGGACAGCACTGCTTTTCTCAGCACAAGAAACAATTGCATGGGGTAACAG